ATTTTTGCATCTATATTCATCAGAGATATTGGCCTGTGTGTGTACATACATATTTGGTAGGTGGCAAAACAACACTCCAGGCATTTCTTAGGTTGCACTTTTATTTTTTAAGTTAATACACAGTACTATGTCATATTTGATAGATTCCATGCTTCTGTGATCAGTTAATGTTTCTTGAAAAAAACATAAAGATTAACAATATTTATTCATCCTAACTGAAGTTCCTTGGGTAATAAATTTTTAAATAATTTTAAATGAACAAATTAAATTAACAGCTTGTTCACTTCAGTATTTTCAATAATTCCTCTGCTCTTTTTTTAAAAAGATTTTATGTATGTACATACGTATGTAATCTCTACACACAATATGGGGCTGGAATCTACAACCCTGAAATCAAGAGTTAAATGCGCCACTGACTGAGCCAGCCTGGCGCCCCTGCCCCCTCTCTTTTCAATTTCAGATATCCATAACAAAATTTTGCTGAGCAAAATAAACTTCAGTTTAGTTCAAGTAGAATAATTAGAAGTGTGGGTCAAGGAGTGTGAATTAAGGAGTGTTTACTGTGTTCAGTGTAATTCTGGAGTATGAGAGTATAAGAGATCTTAGTTTAATGGTTAATTAGATTCTTCCAGTATAGATGAGACAGGAAGAGAAAGAAAAGAACAGCAAGAGCCCTAACCAGGCCATGTGGGGCCTAAAAGAAAGTCATTCACACATAGCCCTGGTACAGCTTTCTGATGGCAGCTCACCCCCATCCTAACTCTCACTTTAGAGCACTGTAATCCCCAACAGTGAAGGTGAGCACCCCAGGATACTGGGCCACAGGGCAGTTTACTGTGAGAAAGATGATTCTGACCTCCTGTCTATCTGGGAATGAACCAGCACTCAGATTTACCTAGAAGCAACCCTTCTGCTCAGATGCCTGACGGATAGTTCAACCTTGGACACTGACTGACCCGCAGGTAAAGTGAATGTCTGTGCTGCTTCATGCCTGCTCGGGTAGAATGGTTGTTGTATTTAGTCTCAGAATAATACACTTTTTATGAAATGAAATTAAAGTAGTTGTCATACTATTAAATTTGTAAGATAGGAACAGATTTTCCTAAAGGTATATTCACTTTTATTGTGGTCATCTATCTTCTTCTTCTTCTTTTTTTTTTTTTTAAGATTTTATTTATTTTTTAGAGAGCGAGCGAGAGAGAAACAGCATGAGAGGGGCGAGGGTCAGAGGGAGAAGCAGGCTCCCCGCTGAGCCGGGAGCCCGATGTGGGACTCGATCCCAGGACCCTGGGATCATGACCTGAGCCGAAGGCAGTCGCTTAACCATCTGAGCCACCCAGGCGCCCTGTGGTCATCTATCTTCTTAAACATAATAATGCCAATTGTTATTCAAGTCTGGTAGGTGACTCTATACCTTACTGATACATAAAACCCTGGGCAACTTAAAGCCATCATGTAGTTGTTTTAATCAACCAGGTGAAGTGAGGCTTACAGGTTTCTGGTGAATCTGAGACTCCTGATATGGAAACATCAAGAAATTTATATATCTGGATTTCCTTATTGTGATTTTGGGCACAGAAATAACATGACTTGGTTATAAAAATAAGTGTCATGTAGAAGGCGCAGAATACACTTATCTTGAACCTAATGGAGAGCCAAGACATAACCCATGTATATATGGTCAACTAACCTTTGACAAGGGCACCAAGAATACACAATAAGGAAAGAATAGTCTCTTTGGTAGACTATTAAAAAATAGGTATCCACATGCAAAAGAAGGAAACTGAACCCTTATCTTATGCCATACAAAAATTAACTTGAGACTGATTTAAGACTTCAGTGTAAGACATGAAACTATAAAATTCCTAGAAGAAGACATAGGGAGGAAGCTCCTTGACATTGATTGGTCTTGGCAATAAACTTTTTGGATCTGACACGAAAAGCACAGGCAAGAAAAGCAAAAATAAGCAAGGGGAACTGCAGAATAAGCTTATCTCATTTTTTAAAAAGATTATCCCCGAAAATAAAGCATTTAAAAATATTTTTGATAAATTTAGGCTCACTGAGAAGGTATCTATAGATCCCTGGGAGTTTTGAAAAACCTGCCATGGTTTGCTTCTGCAGAAATAGTCAAGCACTCCATCTGTCCCTCCCAGGACTTGGAGATTTCCATCAAATGCCAAAATGACCCACCAATCTTGACTGGTTATGCTAACAGATGTGTTTTAATGACCAGTTATAAACATTAACTAAAAGGTCTTTTTTCTTGCAGGAGATGTTAAACATTTAAAAGATTATATGAAATACTGCTCCTGATTTCTGTTAGCAATACTGCTATCATCACCTACAAAACCTCACCATAATAATAAAGATCAGAGAAAGATTAAAGAACCATTGTGAAAATAAAGAAAACTAAAAATTGACACTAAATATGGGGCATCTGGCTGGCTCAGCTGGAAGAGCATGTGACTCTTGATCTCAGGGTCATGAGTTCCTACCCCACGTTGGGTGTAGAGATTACTTCAATAAAAACTTTAAAAAATATAAAAAGAAATTAACACTAATAAAAAGTCCAGCACAGTTTTGAAAATGGAAATTGAAAATCTAATTCTAAAATGCATTTGAGGGCGCCTGGGTGGCTCAGTTGGTTAAGCGACTGCCTTCGGCTCAGGTCATGATCCTGGAGTCCCTGGGTCGAGTCCCGCATTGGGCTCCCTGCTCGGCAGGGAGTCTGCTTCTCCCTCTGACCCTCCCCCCTCTCATGTGTTCTCTCTATCTCATTCTCTCTCTGTGGGCTTAAAAAAATAAAGAAGATTTGCTTTCGTGGCCCACAGCTGCAACCTCTAATTTAAAGATACTGCAATGGACATAGCAAGTTCTCTGGCTCATGGAAGGGAGAAATCTACTCCAAAGACTCTGAGCAAAATTTGGAAATAAGAAATAAAAATATGATGAAAGCTATCTTCCCCTCACCTTTACAGAAGTTGGTAACATACCTTATTGCGTCATATGCAACAGAATATTTCCCTACAGTGTTAAAGAAAAACCAATTTGGAAGAAAAAAATATAAAAAGAAAAAAGAAGAACCGGAGCTGGACAGTAGTAGTTAATGCAGTAAAAGCAGGTTTTATTCAGAAACTATTGCAACAGGGGAAAAAGAGGCCTCAGTATAGAACTGGGCCCCATCCCTAGGACAGCACAAAATGGGGACTAAAAAAAGCCAAAGAGGAGGGTCAGGGTCAGGGGATGGAAAATTACTAAGAGAAAACCTCAGGAATAGAAAGATTCTAGTTAAACAGACCTGACAGGATTCTTGCTGAAGGCAGGCCAGGGTGGTCAGATGCTGTACAAAGGAAAACCCACAGTCTTTCCACCCCTGAGTCTTTCTCCTGTGAATCTCCCTTACTACTCACACAAAACACTTCACTTCTGGTCACCAAAAGAGCGTTTTTTTTCCCTACATGAAGCAATTCTCCATGACATCAGCTGGGGTGTCCTGCAATTCAACTAAATTCTGACACTATCTGTCCAGAGACAGCATCAGGTTCCACAGGTTAAGGTTCAGACCCACAAAGCAGCCGCCCCTCCCCCACTGCAGATGCCAATCCAAGTCCAGGTTATCACCTGTGCTTCTGACTGATGAGCTCTAGAGTGGAACTTCCAACAACCCCTTCCGTAGGTTCAATTCATTTGCTAGAGTGGCTCACAGGGCTCGGGAAACACTTCCGTTTACCACTGTATTAAAGGATGTGATAAAGGATACGTGACCAGTTAGATGAAGAGATACACTGGGCGAGGTCTGGGAGGGTCCTGAGCACAGGAGCTTCTGTCCCTATGGAGTTGGGGTGCATTACCCTCCCAATGTGGATGTGTTCATCCATGTGGAGACTCTCTGAACCCTGTAATATTGGGATTTTTATGGAGGCTTCCTCATGTAGATCATTAACTCCATTTCCAGCCCCTTTCCCCTCTCTTGAGGATTGGTGAGGGGCAGTGGTATGGAGCCGAATAGTCCAGCTCCAATCATGGCTTGGCCTTTCTGATGACAGTCTCTGTCCAGGAGTCATCCAGGAGCCCCTCCAGAGTTGCCTCATTAGAACAAGACATTCTTACCACCCAGGAAATTCCAAGGGATTTAGGAGTCCTCTGTCAGGAGCTGGGGTTGAAGACAAAATATTAGAACAAGAGACGCTCCTAGTGCTCTGAACACTTAGGAAATGTAAGGGTTTCAGTTCCTGTGCCAGGAACTGGGGGCAGACACCAATATATATGTTTTATTTTCTCACAGATACCAAAGCGGGTAGATGAAGAATATTATCAGATGTTGAGGGTGGAGAGTTCTCTCTAAACTGACTTGACAAGATTCTTGCTACAACTGGGTGGTGCAGGATAGCCAAGGACAGACTACAAGGTCCAGGCCTAGAGAAGAATGACTAAAGTTCAGTCAAGGAGAGTCTTTGTCCATAGCTACTGTGAAGCCAGTTAAACTGTGGTATCATGTTGACACTGATCAGCCAGAGTTTTAAGAAAAAGGAACTGAATTATTTGAAGTATAGACATCATGGCTTTCTTTAAACACCAAAAATTATTACAGATATCCAAACTAAACATGAAAAGGCCACCAAAGCATCCTTAATTTTTAGTAAGGTAAATATCAATCACTCTAAGCCACATAAACAAAAAGGCCTTTGGGAGTGTTTCCCTCCCCTTTTATTTAGAGTAAAGGGTTCCTGAGACCCAAGTGAGAAGACCATTGTGAATTATCCCCAGCCTTAACAGGTCCCTTTCTTGCACCGACTTCAAGAAGAGCCATCAAGAGAGAATCCTAAGTACCTCTCTGTAAAAGCCCTTGGCCAGGCCTACATTTTTTAGTTCTTTTAGGCCAGCGAGCTGGTGTTTGGTGAGCTGAGGGACTTTGGACCACAGTTAGCTTTTTTCCTCTCTGTTCTCTTTCTCTTTTGTTTCTTTTTTTCTCATCTTTATGTAGTTTGTTAGTACTGTTAGGGGGCATTTCTTTTTTTTTTTTTTTTAAGATTTTATTTATTTATTTATTTGAGCGAGAGAGAATGAGAGACAGAGAGCACGAGAGGGAAGAGGGTCAGAGGGAGAAGCAGACTCCCCGCCGAGCAGGGAGCCCGATGCGGGACTCGATCCCGGGACTCCAGGATCATGACCTGAGCCGAAGGCAGTCGCTTAACCAACTGAGCCACCCAGGCGTGGGGGCATTTCTAGTTAGTATTGCTAGCAGTAAGTTGCTGAGCTGCGGGACCTCACAGCCATGCCTGCGACCAGGAGACCCGCACTGACAACCACTGGCTCCTCAAGACCTTTGGCCAGGGCGGCTTTGCTGAAGTGAGGTCGGTCTGGCACAACCTAAGTGGGACAGAAGCATCCATGAAGGTCATTAACAAGAGCCAGCAGAGCTCCTCCAGCCTCCACAGACTATTCCTTGAAGTCCAGAGCCTGGAGGCCCTGAATCACGACCCTTGAGTCATGAAACCACTCAAGGTGACTGACACCACGGAAACACTCTATCTGGTCACGGAGTACACTACAGGCACTTGATCACCCACTGGACCATGCCTGCATGAGAAAGGAGCAGCCCTGGAGGCAGATTCTGCCAGATAGTGTTCACTGTGTAGTACCATTGCCAGGAGGGTATCATCCCCAGGGACCTAAAGCCAGAGAACCTGCTTTTGGAAGCCGACCTGAACATCAAGGTTGTAGACTTTGGCTTCAGCAATGAGGTCACCGTCGGCCATAAGCTAAACACCTTCTGTGGTAGTCCCCCTTATGCCAAAAGTACAACAGCCTCGCAGTGGCCGTGTGGAGCCTGGAGCCATCCTCTATACAATGACTGTCCAGTGACCAGCAGATGCCTGCCTTTACAGGACTTTGGGGAGCTGTGGGAGTGGGTACTGAGCAGAATATACTGCATTCCCCTTTATATGTCTGTGGAGTGTGAAAACCTACTAGAGCAATTCCTGGCCTTCAATCCCAGTGAGAGAAGCACTTTAGAGGAAACCATGAAGGACCCCTGGATGAACATAGTCCATGAAGAGGAACTAAAGCCTTACATCCAGCCACCCCCTGGGCTACAAGGACCCCTGGCAGAACTGAGGTGACGTTATCCATGGGTTATGGGTGGCACCAGATCCAGGACCTGCTGATGGGCTGGAGTTATGATGACGTGATGGCCAACTACCTGATCCTAGGCTGCAAGAGCCCCAAGGCGGAGGGGTGGACCACTGCTGTGAAGCCCCCGCCTTCAGCTGATCCTACCAACAGCTGCTGTCCTTCCCCATCCTGCACACTTCAGCCTAGGGTCTCTGCCAACACAAAGAAATGTGGTTGTGGTGAGCCCATCATTCCCACCTTTGTTGCATTCTGTAACTCAGAAAGTTGGCGGCCTGGGGAGGACTGGGAGTCAGTGGAAGGCCAGCAGCCCAGCCAAAGTGTCTGCCAGTCGCCCACCAAGCCTGGAGACAAGGACCCCCCAATCCCCAGCACAGTCCCCAACGTGGCCCTGGGGCCTCCCCTCTACCCACAGCACCTACCATCCATGTGGTAGAGCCCCACATGGAACCAGCTGCCCTCGGGGTTTATCCTACAACAGAAACTCCCTCCATCCTGGGTGGCCCGGTGATGGGACCCCAGCCTCTCCCTTTGGCAACAGCCAGGGCTGACAGGGGACTGTTGGGAGCTTCTTCAACTTCCTCCTCAGACAGATACCCGTGTTCCAGGCTGCCCAGAAAGAACTGGTGTGGCCCTTCAAACACAGTGAAGCCAGCAAAAGCTCACATGGTGGATAGCCGAGGCAGGGATAAAACCAAAGACTGCTTTTAAAGAGGGAGCAAGAAGATCCTGAGTTGCACAGAGCCCAGCGACAGGTGTGGGAGCCGAGCCAGTGATGAGGCGACAGCTGCGGGGACGGGAGTGGTGCAAGGAGCTTACAGCGCGTGCGCAGGGAAGCCGAGGCCTGCGTGCAGGGGAGGATAGCAGGTGCGGACTGCCAAGGCACTCTGCATGGGATTCAAATCAAGGGAGTACCTGCACTTCCACAGCATTCAAAGGCATTGAATCCAAAATGCTGGTGAGCTTAAAGGATGGTTGGGAGCCAATGGGGAGATAAGTAGAGAGGCTGGCCCTTTGTCCCAACCTGGATGAATCTTCAGAGACTGGACTGTTGTCCTGGGGCACTTCTTCCCTCCTGCTCTTCTGTCTCTTCCTCCATGTTTGTCAGGGAGGGGAGATACTGCTGTAGAAATAAACACAATAAAGAAACATTTAATAGGGAGGCATTTAACATCCATTTTCTGAGTTGCTTTTTTTTTTTTTTAAAGATTTTATTTATTTATTTGAGACAGAGAGAATGAGAGAGAGAGAGAGCACATGAGAGGGGGGAGGGTCAGAGGCAGAAGCAGACTCCCCGCTGAGCAGGGAGCCCGATCCAGGGACTCCAGGATCATGACCTGAGCCGAAGGCAGTCGCTTAACCAACTGAGCCACCCAGGCGCCCCTCTGAGTTGCTTTTAAAGCTGGATTGTGGGAGGTGATTATTGATTCAACTGGTTGTCATTCATGTTTGTCTTAGAGAACACAGGGTTGACACTCCCTTGAGCAGGTTTGATAGTAGTGATATTAACACGAACAAATAACAAGCCACAGACTTTCTAGACCATTTCAATTCCTTTTAGGTACAAGTGCCCATTGAACACACTAGGAAATGAATGTTGAGTGGGGTTAAGCACTTTGTACAATCACGGTGCTGGTGAGTGGCAAAGCTTGTATCAGGAGCTTGTGCTTTGAACCCCGGCTCTATGGCCTCCCGTGACTCAGGCCTGGGGCCTCTGCAGTCCTGGTTTTGACATCCTTTCAAGGTTGTTACACTGTGTCTCTGAATTAATGGATAATTCAGGAATATAAGAGATGAGACAACCAACCACTTGTGAAGTAATCTTCAGAGCTCTGGGTGAATTAACCTGTCTGCAGTTCCCTAAATCCTTCTCTGCATTAGTCCTGAGTACAAACTCTACCTCAAAAATGTTAGGAAGAAAGATGAAGCTGTCCAGAGTGCTGGAAACACTAAGGTTGTCTGGAGCCTGTTTAGCTGCAGGGAAAGTGCCTTGTAGGTCCTTTAGCACACAAGTGGGCCCCCCTGGTGTTAGAGCCTGATCCAGCTCTAAACGGATCTAGGGTGGTGCCTAGCAGGGTGGCCTTCACTCTCTTCTGCCTCATGTCAAAGGGCCTCATGTCTTATGAAGCTAGAGAGCAAGTGTAGGGTGATGGCTTCCAGATGAACTCTTGTATATTTAAAATTCACTTACTAGACTCAAGAGCCCCTCTCCCTATCCCAATCCTTTTTATTCAGGTACGAATTAGAACTTGCCTGAGGACACCCACTCACCCCTGAAATGCTGGGTCACACCTCTGCCCAGGGGATCTGCCACAAGTGTGCTCTGGGCCTCTGTCCTCTCAGGCACTGGGAATAGGCATCTCATTTAGGGTGAGATTTGAGCTTTTTCCAGAGTCACACTGCTTCGTGAGGTCACTGAAGAATTTTGGAAGGGTCCTTGACTGAAAGTTCTTTTTTGGCATGTCCTCTAGGTTGAGGTGCAACCCTTCGGCATAGGCTTTCTTGATTATCATAGTGTTTGGCACTTAACAGTTCTTCACAAATAGCGTTTTCCCTTTTTCCTGCAAGGGAGTTACAAAGAAAGAATTGCAGGGATATTTTGGAAGAGGGAGAGAGACACTAGGTACAGCTAGGGTGAGGATCAGGAATTTTTGTTTGTTTTTAAAGATTTTATTTATTTATTTGACAGAGAGAGCCAGAGAGCACAAGCGGAGGGAATAGCAGAGGGAGAGGGAGAAGCAGACTTCCCACTGAGCAGGGAGCCTGATGCAGGGCTCAATCCCAGACCCCTGGGATCATGACCTGAGCCGAAGGCAGATGCTTAACCATCTGAGCCACCCAGGCGCCCCAAGGATCAGGAATGTTTTGTGGATGAGGCAGATTTGAAGTTGAGGCCCGGCCAGAACTCATGGGACCCTGAGTCCTCACGTGAGGCGGGTCACATATTCTTCTGAGGGCCATCATTTCTTTTCCATGGAAGCTGCTGGTGCCAGTTTCCACGCTACCTGCTGTTGGAGGGCAGTTTTGAGTTTGTACACAACACAGATCCATTGGTGGTGGTTGCCTGGAGCCTTGGCTGGAAAGGATCCTGAAGTCAAGGTCCGGCTCAGCAGGAGGGAGTCCTACTTTTCAGGTACCTGTAATAGTTATAGTTCCTAGTACTGCCTTCACTGTGGCTCCCACTTGTAATGAGATGATGTTAAATGACTCCAGGGCAGAGTTAGGAGGATGAACATAACCTGGTCACTAAAGGAGCTTCTGGGTCAGAGAGCTCTCTGATCGCCACTGCATATACCCAGGCATGCTATATTTGCAAGTGTGTGTATTTATAGGCACTGCGGTTGTGTTTTGGATTTGCACCCTGATCCAGGCATTAATTCATTTAAAAGAATATTTTAACATTTTCAAAGAGTTGAGCATCTTTAAATTCCCTATTTCTGTTATTTCTAATTTTACTGCATTATGGCCCACAACTGTAAGATGTTAAAATTTTTGTCCTTTTATATTTACTAAATATATCTTTTTGTTTTCAAAATATAATGAAAGGTATTTCTATTTCTTTGTAAGTTGTCTTGGTTTGTTAAAAAAAATTCACTTTGTTATTTGTTACTACATTCTTTTGGGTAGGTACGTACAGTTCAGTAATACTTTCATTGTTTTGCATATTTTTGGGTTTTTTTTAATCATTTAAACCTTCATTCTCTCTTAAGACTTCTCCTTTCGTGCCTCCCATGCTCTAGATTCTATGATTTAATATTTCTCAGTTAAGACTGCTTTCAGCTCTAGATACTGGAAAATGTGACACACAGTAGTACGAACAAGCAAGGATAGGAGATGAGGCCAAAAAAGTAGGCAGGGGCCAGGTTATCTGGTTATCTAAGCACTTATTTTATTTTATTTTCTCCCCGCCTCTCTAAGCTTTTTTTTTTTTTTAATTTATTTTTTTTTTGAGAGAGAGAGAATGACACAGAGAGAGAGAAGGAGAAGGGTGAGGGTCAGAGGGAGAAGCAGACTCCCTGCCAAGCAGGGAGCCCGATGTGGGACTCGATCCCGGGACTCCAGGATCATGACCTGAGCCGAAGGCAGTCGCTTAACCAACTGAGCCACCCAGGCGCCCCACCCTCTAAGCTTTTATTTTGTTGCAACAAGAAGCCAGTGGGAGGGTTTAATGGGGGTGGGAGGGAGTGAAGGGGGGAGTTGGGGGGGTGTGGGGTTAATATATATCATGTCTTTCATGTTTTCTATGGAGCACCCTGGATGCTGACTGGAGAATGGACTGTAGGAGAGTAAGAGGGGAAGCAGGGAGCTGGGTTAGGAGGTAGTCTTTGCAGAAGACCAGTAAGAGAGGAGGGTGACTGAAACTGGTGTAGAAATGGAGACAGTGAGGAGTGGCTGCAATCAGGATGCACGGCAACAGGACTTGCTGGAGGACTGCATGTGGGATGAGAAGGGAAAAAGAGCCAGTGATGACTCCTGAGTGCTCCCCTCAGAAAAGAGGATCTAGGCCTGGGGGTGCTCAGCAGGTAGATGGTATTCAAAGCTGGGAGCCTCCGTAGGTTCGCTCTAAGAAGAGAGGGCCCATAGGAAAAAGAAGGGGGCTGAGGATCCCAGAGAACTCGTGGAGGAGGAGGAGCAATAAGAGGAAGACAGAGTAAGGCGGGAGTGAATCTGGAGGGAGGCAAATCCAGAGAAAACTGTTTTAAGATGGAAGAAGTGCTCAATCGTGTTTCAGCTAAAAGGCTGAGAAAACAAAAACTTAATCCTGAATTCAGTAAAATGGCAATCATTGGTGACCCCCGTGAAAGCCACTTCAGTGAAGTGGTGAGGAGGGAAGCTGGACTGGAATCGGTTTAGGAGATAAGATGAGGAGAGGTAGCTTGAATGGAGCAGAGAAGAATGGGAAATGGAGAGGACCTGGGGGTCAAAGGAGGTCTGTGTTTAATATACAACATTAGGGTACATTTGTGTTCCGAGGTTGGCAAGGGATCACTACTAACACAGGACTGCAGAACTCTGGGGTCAGAATCTGAAAGGCCTTCTCAGCCCCCACTTTACTAAATTATAACCTCAATCTTTAAAATCAATGGGATTTTGGGCGCCTGGGTGGCTCAGTTGGTTAAGCGACTGCCTTCAGCTCAGGTCATGATCCTGGAGTCCTGGGATCGAGTCCGGCATCGGGCTCCCTGCTCAGCCGGGAGTCTACTTCTCCCTCTGACCCTCCCCCCTCTCATGCTCTCTCTGTCTCATTCTTTCTCTCTCAAATAAAGAAATAAAATCTTAAAAAAAAAATCAATGGGATTTTTGCCATCTATTTCATGATACAGGCATACCCACAGAATATATCGCCAATTAATGTTTTCCTGGAAGATTTTAATTTTTAATACCCAAAGTGCATAGCAGTCATTTGTCTCTCTAGTTTAAATTGAGTCTTCAAAAAATATACTTTGAACAAGGAAAAGTTTCATGTTGCTTTCAAATACAATCAGCAGACCATCAATCACACTAGTCACTTTGCAAATCTTTGGAGTGTCGTCAAGATGTACAGTATCTGATGCTGCTGGTCTACAACACAGCACTGCTACTGCACAAAAAGCAACCGTATGCTAACAGCTGTATTATTTTTTTTATTTAATTTTTTACGTATGATGTGGAGAACAAAGGCAAAAGAAATAAGGAAAAAAAAAATCTCCTTACAACTTACAGCCCATTGACAAGTCCTTGAGACAGGCAGAGTGACCTTCTTCTAAGAACTCAACTCAATACTTGCTAGAAGCAAAAGGCAATCTTATCTTAACATTAGCCCGACATCCAGGATCTTGAAAGTCTTCTTTAACATATAAAAATTCCTTTGGAAACTTCCTGTATCTCTACTGCCACCTCCCTCCACCTCGCCAAGATATATTAGCAATCATCCTCCAAGCATACGGCCCACTGATATACATCTGATGGGTCTCATGACTAAGGTTTTCCTAGACAATAGTAAATGCCCTTTTCCTAACGACAGCTAACCCCTCAAGGTCCTGAAAACCTGGCTTCCAAATTCCTTACAGATTTACACTATCCCTAACTCCCTTCCAACTTGAAAGTCTATAACCAGCCACTCCTCACGACCCCAGTGCAGATCTGCCCTAGGGTCCTATCCCCTGTGCTTTAATAAAACCACCCTTTTTGCACCGAAGATGCCTCAAGAATTCTGACTGTTCACTCCGAACCCCAACATTTTCACAGCAAGTAAACTCTCACCCCAACATGGGGCTCGAACTCATGACTCAGAAATCAAGAATTGCAAGCTCTTGTGGCTGAGCCAAGCCAGACACCGAAGAATTGGTAGGGTTTTTTGATGGACTTGCTATGCCTTATAATTTTTTGTTTAAAATAATGGGAAATAAGGTCTCCTTAGAATTTGTTCTCAGAGAAAGTCCTGACATTTCAGGCATAGACTATTAACAATCACTTAATGGCATATGACTTTCCAGCTTCGTCTTAGTTTCAGGTTTTTAATTACTTACCTTGGAAATTACTTAACTTCATTTCTTCCAAATCTGGCAGTAGGACTGATGCTCCAGAAAGTTATACCATGGATATTTTGCTTTTTTTTTTGCATCCTTCCTGCACAGAATTGGAGCTTTGCTGAAGTGAGTTTGAGACGTGTGTAGGGATGGAGTAACTGGAGTTAATCAGAAAAACTAAATGGAAAAACGACTTAAAAAAAATTATCACTATAACCCCCAACAACAACAAATTGTTTAATTATTTTGTGGTTCTGAAGGGATATTTAAAAAGTTACATTTAAAGGGGTTCCAAAGGAGCCGGGCAGTAGGGCAGAAACTGTCGTACCACCTTCCTCCACAAACTTCCCTGATCTCTTGGGAAGGACCAACGGGAGCTTGTGGTCCTGCCGGAATGAGGCCAAGGGGGCCAGGATAGGTCAGGGGAGTCAGAGAAGTGGCTTGCGCGCGGTCCCCCAAGGGGATTAGGAGCTTACTGACCTGCCCGCCTGACTTTCCCATCTGTACCACGCAGAATTGGGCCTGTCCACTGTCATGTTTCTCCTTTTCAAAACACCGCACTGGGCAGTCAGTCCCTCTAAGAAGCTGTTCAGCCAGCCCAGGGCTCCGAGGGGCACTCTGCGGGGAGCCACACCACCGAGGTCCATGGGGACGATTATGGCAGCCCCGAGGGACAGAGGTGACGGCGAGAAAGGTGGCTTTGAAAAGGCAAGTTCCAGGTTTCCAGGTACCGGTATTTCCATCGTAGCCGGTGAGTTTACGTTTCAAATACCGGCTTAAGAGCTTCCGCACGGGTTCTAAGAAGTGTCACCAACCGGCAAGTCCGCGCGAGTCCCTAAGCCCCAACCCCACCGAGGGCCGCCTCAACGTGCGCGGCCCGGAGGCACCGCGCATGTCCGAGGGGGCGTGGCTCGGAGGGCGGGGCGAGTAGAGGCGGGAGTGAGGCGGTGGGAAGGGCGGGGCGCGCTGAGTCGTGGAGGTTGGGCTGTACCCATGGCCAACCCCCCTCAGGCTGTCAGATGGGCCGGCCTGCGAGAAATCCGGCTTCGAGCACAACAAATGGCACCATCGGCAATTCGTAAGGATGCTCTATCACGATTACAGCGCGAGTCAGGCTGTCCGGGGCCCGCTGGGCCGCGCTGTGTCCCTGGCGGCGGGGCTTGGGGGAGATCCGCGCTCCTCCGGGCTTGGCGGCACCGCCCCTGGGCCGCGGAGGGGCGGGGCGGGAGGAGAGGCCTCTCCCTGGGCATGCTGGGAGCTGTAGTCTCTCAGTCGCTCCCAGCCAGCTGCTTTCAGGGCTGCAGGACTACAACTCCCAGAATGTGCTAGGCGCTGGGTGTTCGTTGTGGTTTAGCTTTTGCTTAGATTTTGTGGCTCTGACACTTTACTTACCCCATTCCCATTCCTATTTGCTGCACCGATTGCTTTGTTGTTACTTCCTAGAGGCCATTTGGTTGTTTCTGTATCTTGCAGTGTTTTTAGGGAGTTCACCCTCACTACATAAAGTCACTGCGCAGTAAGTGCAGTAGTTACCTACTTGTAGTTCTCATGTTTGTCCTCTCAATGAAGCTGTGAAGAATCTTAGTTACTTGTAGCTCCTCTCATTCTCATGCGAATGGGGCCACTTACCAAGCTGGGCACCTCGTCTTTGGTCTCATTGATATTATCTTTTTCATCTATTTTGAAATATACTCTGCTAGTAACATGGACACTGACAGATATTCTTACATATCTAACATCTCCATGAAGAAGGCCTATGATCCCCATTTTACAGGTGTGGAAACTGAGGCTCAGAAGGGTTGAGTAGCTTCCTAAACCTCATACAATTTCTCTGCACCTTTTGAGTCTTAACCTGGAACTCTGCCTCCCAGGTATATACACTTTGTGTGAAAGAAGATAAGTGTTTACAGAATTTTGGCACAAGGAGCTGAAAGCAACTTAAATGATTTTAATTTGAATACAGCTTTGCACAACTTCTTTCTTTCTTACTTCAACCTCCCAGATTCCTGTAACTCTCAAATATGCATTGGGTAGTTTCAAGAAAGGTAGATTCACAAAACTTCTTTTCTTTTTCCCAATATTAAAATGGCCTTACTTGGTGTATTTTAAGATGCAGGAGAGTCAACGGTGATGTTATACTTTTCAAATGATCAAATTCAGGAACATCAGCCAACTTAGCACTGAGCAGCTGGACAGATCTGCAGTGCCTGGTGCTGCTGAGCAGTGAGCTCTGGGAAAGCGAGCTCTGGCAGATCTACTCTGGCTGGGCGCTGTCTTCAGTAACACTGGCCTGTGGGAATGTGAGCTCCTGGATCTTGTATGGCTCTGGCTGGCTTCTTGATTTTTTTGGTTTGTTTTTGTTTTTTATAAGGGAAGTGAAGTTTAGAGATTTATTTATTTATTTATTTATTTATTTATTTATTTGAGAGAAAAAACACAGAGGGAGAGGTAGAAGCAGACTCCCTTGCTGAGCAGGGAGCCCAACGTGGGACTCAATCCCAGGACCCTGAGGACCATGATCTGAGCCGAAGGCAGATGCTTAACTGACTGAGCCACTCAGGCACCTCGGCTTCTTGTTTTTAATAACAGTTTAATGGTTTGGGGTGCCTGGGTGGCTCAGTCATTGAGCGTCTGCCTTCGGCTCAGGTCATGATCCCAGGTTCCTGGGATCGAGCCCCACATCGGGCTCCGTGCTCAGCAGGAAGCCTGCCTCTCCCTCTCCCACTCCCCCTGCTTGTGTTCCCTCTCTCGCTGTGTCTCTTTCTGTCAAATAAATAAAATCTTTTTTTAAAAAATAAATATAACAGTTTAATAGTTTGAAAGTGATCATGTGGTGGATATGTGTTTTCTTTCGTGTGTGTGTGTGTGTGTGTGTGTGTGTGTGTGAGACAAATAACGAGCCTAATAATTTGATATGAACCCATGGCTGTTCTCAACCAAGGACAGTGGTGGAAAAGCTGATTTGTGTATAATCACTGCCTTAATACTTCGTACAGAGAAGACATGTCTTCATGTCTTTGCCTTTTATATCTTGCTCGTCTGTGCCAATGTGCTATTTTAGGGGCAGTGCTAATGGTTCAGATTGCAGGGTTCCCTCACATACATTTCCAATTTTTTCCTTGTTTGGGCTTAAAATGTAGTAACATTATTATCTTAAATGGCATAAGTATCTTTGTTGATGAAAAAATTCTATTGCCAAATACTTCTCCTTTTTTAAAAAGATCTTATTTATTTGAGAGAGAGAGACGAGCAGGGGGGAGGAGTAGAGAGAGAGGGAGAAGCAGGCTCCCCACTAAGCAGGGAGCCCGATGCGGGGCTCTATCCCAGGACCCTGAGATCATGACCTGACCCGAAGGCAGACGCTTAACCGACTGAGCCACCCACGTGCTCTCAAACCCCTGTCCTTATGAAAAGAAAAAGCAGGGTCAGAGAATCTTGATGCAGTGTCCAGCATTCTGCATGACCAAACAGGCTTTATGTGGAACTTGGGGTCAGTAGGTGTGGCCTGTATCCTCTCAACACAAATCAGGCATACATTAGCAGATATAAGGACAGACAGGTTTAACTTCCCAAGCCAGAGGCTCCCGGGACCACTGTATTGAAGGACGGTCCTAGCCTGGCCCTTCCTGTAAGATGAGGTGTCTCCCTCCTATTTTCTCTGAGACCTTACAGCTTCCGCTGTCATTGTTTCTCCTATAACTTCATCCTCTCTGCTCACAGAGTAACAGAAACCTTTTTCAATGAATTCAGGTTTCTCCATTCCTTCAAAACTGGTCAAAAAAATTTTTTGTGGGCTGGGAGGGGCAGAGGGGGAGAGAGAATCCTAAGCAGGCTCCACACCCAGCTCAGAGCCTGATGTGGGGCTCGATCTCACAACCCTGAGATCCTGACCTGAGTGAGCTGAAACCCAAGAGTCGGATGCTTAACTCACTGAGCCACCCAGGTGCCCCTGACCACATTTTCTAAATTTTACTCTACCTATTATATTCCTCCTCAGTGCACTTCCGAAATTAAGAGAACAGGGGTGCCTGGGTGGCTCAGCCATTAAGCGTCTGCCTTCGGCTCAGGTCATGACCCCAGGGTCCTGGGATTAAGCCCCCATCAGGCTCCCTGCTCCACGGGAAGCCTGCTTCTCCCTCTCCCTCTCCCACTCCCTCTGCTTGTGTTCCCTCTCTCGCTGTGTCTCTCTCTGTCAAATAAATAAATAAAATCTTTAAAAAAAAAAAATTAAGAGAATAAAACTTTCTATAGATTATTGCCAGTTTCAGAACAAAGATTACTTAGAAAGGGGCAAAAATGGGTGGTTTGGAACAAGGATGAAGAGAAGTATTTTCTTTTTTTTTTTTTAATCTTATTTATTTATTTATTTTTAAAGATTTTATTTATTTATTCATGAGAGACAGAGAGAGAGAGGCAGAGGGAGAAGCAGGCTCCCAAGGAGCAGGGAGCCCGATGTGGGACCCGATCCCAGGACCCTGGGATCATGACCTGAGCCGAAGGCAGACACTCAACCATCTGAGCCACCCAGGCGCCCGAAGAGAAGTATTTTCTTTATATTTTTTAGAGTTTTACAAAATATTCAACTGTATTCTAAGAAAACAAAATTAAAACAGGAAAAAAAAATAAAAGCAAAACTGACTCTTTACTGTCCCTTCAGGCCCAGTCCTGTAGAAGTGTGTCTCTTTCTCCTGTTCCCTCAATCCTACACAGACTTCATGCCAGCACGCGGAACCCTGGACTGACTGAACTCACCTGCCGACACACCTGCCTCCCTAACTAGACCTTGAGTATCTGCTCTGACTCATCCTTCCCACCTATGTCTAAAACATGGCCTAGCTCACTGCAGTCACATATGTGGTTAAGGAGTCCATCACTTCTATATCAAGGCCATGGTCTTGTTAGAGAAATATAACCTCTCATATTCCCTCTTTGCAAGCATAGCCTTCATGGAGACTGGGACATATTAGTACAAATGTTGGAAAGGAACTGATTTTCCCATCAGTCCCTGACCCAGTGCAATCATCACAGAGACACGGGATGATGACTGTAGCTCAGAGCCTTGGACACCTTCCAGATGCACTTAGAAGATGCACTCGATCCAAGTGGAGACACCTTCCTATTTACTGGAAACAAGCTTTCAATTCAGGAGAAAGAGAAAGTCCCTACTGACCTGTACGTCACAAGATATTTCACGGATAGAAGTAGAACTACAGATGAGTTGACGAGAGAGACATCCCGGGACTAGGGCTCTATCAACTCAGTCTGTCACTGCCCTCAGGAAGCTCAGTCTCATCTTTTCTCTCGCTCATTGAGTCCATCTAGTGACATCTCTGTTACTGACCTCTCTTCCCATACACAACTTTTCCCAGTCCAAGCCCTTCTTGTCCTAAAGGCCACTTGGGCTTCTGAGACTCTTCTGCCTTATTAACCCCAGGTTTGTGCCCCAGAAAAGGTGTGTGGGAAAGTATTTTTGAGCAGAGATTTTTCAAATGGCCTCCAGGACAAGCCAGGTTAACCCTGCTTCAGAGGGAGAGCCTTGGAGCAGGTGACAGCAATCCTTAGAGGGCTTTAGGCCTCAGGATAAAGCCCAGAACTTGACAGTGGAGCAGATCTCTGACATTGAATGCGCCCATTTAACTTTATGTATGCAGAAACTGAGCCCAGAGAGGTCAGATGACTTGCCCATCAACACACAGCCTATACATGACCTTGCACCCAGGAGTAAAGTGCCCTTCACACTCCATTGGCCTGTCTTCTTCCATACCTTTACCTGCTAAAATCAGATTGAGATGAAAACTGGCAAAGCTCTGGCGTACAGCAGTGGTTCTTAAAGTTTGTTGCACATTAGAATCACTTGGAGAGCTTAAAATAATACTGATGTTTGGCTGCATACAAGATCAACGAAATCACAATTTCTGGGCTGAGTTCCAGGTGACTGGGGTACCGGAATCAATGCAAACAGCTTGACTTGTCTGTGCCTGGGAATGGGGAAGGGTGGGAGGGGACAAGTAGCCTGCAGGGTCCAGTCCCCTTCTGGCATCCTGTGGGCCTATGATTCTGGTAGGGGGAAGCTGTGGGGCAGGGGGATTGCTTGGGTCTACTGGGATTTAGGACTGCTTTCAAGTGGGGCCTGCACCTACCAGAGAATTTTTTTTTTTAAAGATTTATTTATTTTTGAGAGAGAATGAGAG